CAGGTACTCACGTCCTCGGGCTCCCGGGTGTCGTTGGAAGATGAGAGCTCCTGGATGTGCCTGGCGATGCCCTTTTCCAGCTGCCAGGGAGAAATGCACAGAGGCACTTGGCATTTGCCCTCTGCACCAGCTTCCTCATGCCCAGGTCCACCTTGTCTCCATCGCAGGAGCACTGTGGGCTCCAGGCTCCCTTAGGTGAAACCTCCCTGCTTTGGGTCAGGGAGCAAGGGGGGACAGAGGCAGGTGGTCACCTTGGTGGCCAGGGCTTGCACCACGTCCCGGACCTCGTGATCCAGGCAGGAGACAGCGCTGTCGAGCTGGTTGTGCAGCGTGTGCTGGATCTGCTGCCGGTCGATGACGGCCCCCGTGCGCTGCTCCAGCTGGGCCCAGTCCAGCTGCGACGGCAGCTTCAGGATCAGCAGACGCAGCTGCTTGATGTTGTTCACCACGATGCAGAGCTGGGAGAGGTGGGTCTGCTTCAGGGTGTCCCACACACGCCCCGGTGCAGCCCCTGCTGCCTCCATCCCCATCCCCATCCTAGTCTCCCTGCTCACACCATTTCCCTCCTGATTTTCCAGGATCATGGCTATCGGGGATCAGCCTGTGAAAGCCAGACTCGGGACGTCAGCTGGGTGCTCAGCAGCTCGTCTCCCTCTCTGCCCTGAAACCACGGCCAAATCCTGCCTCTCCCCAGGCAGGACCCTGCCCCGATACCAACCCTGTTGGCTGCTTTGCCCTCATTCTGCTCGCTCAGCGACAGAGCCTCAGCCCTCTCCTTGATGAGCCGGCAGTACATCAGGGCGATTTTGCACATGTCCTGCAGGAGCAAGGAGAAGCCAATGGGACTCAGCAGGGCAGCACGGGGATCACCGTGGTGCCAGGGAACCCTGCCACATCAGCATGGGACACTGGCCCCACTCATGGAGACACGTCTCCAAGAGCAGGAGAGGAAACTCCATCTGCTGATGCTCGTGAGCAGGGCATCTGATGGCAGGGCCTGGTGTACAAACCTCCACAAGCTTCACCATGATCATAAAGGCTTCCTCGGGGTCTGGCCAGTTGAGCTGCTGCCAGGTCTTCACAATCTGGGCATAGCAGGTAGACAGGTCAACGGTGGACGTGCTGTGCTTGTTGTGTTCCCCGAAGGGCACCAGCTGGGAGGGCAGAGAAAGCAAATGCAACTTAGCTTGTATGGAGAGGAGCCATCCCAGACAGGAGAGCTGCTCCTTTACTTTGAGGATCTCCGGCCCATCATCAGCTCCATATATCCTAATGTCATCACCAGTCACTTTGGAGAGTGGAGGAGATGAGGGTGGATGGAGTGTCAGGATGGATGGAGTGTCCCGAGCTCCCCGCATCGGGCTGTGCCCCATCATACTCTAACCCAGTGTTGTTGGACCACAATGAACAGTGGGGTGAGGAGCCTGCATGGTTGTCTTCCCTCCCCTCTTCTTAAAGGTCAGAAGCAAAGGGGATGCTCACAGCACGACCCAAACGCAAGCTCATCAGCTTGCTCGGGCTGCCAGAGAGCAGAAGGGGGAAGGGACACGGGGATGAGGTGTGGACCGTGATGAGGGTGATCTAGAGTGGGATCAACTTGTTCAGGAGACCATGTGCTTTGTTATGCATTTGGGAGAGGAACCAGCCTGCTCCTGGGCTGCAAGAGGCAGCTACATGGTGGTCTCAATGCTGTGAGCCGGGCACAGCAGCAAGGTGTGGAGGGAGCTGGAGTGTCCCAAAGGATGGAGGGAGATGTTCTCCTCCCCGGGTTACCTGGTCCATCTGGACAGCTCTCTGTGCCCTCTCCAGTGCAATGGTGTAGGCCTTCTGCAGCCACTGGGGTACAGCTTCCTTGAACCACTGGTGGAAGTTGGTCAGAGCCAGAGGTCCATCCCTGTGGATGAAGGCACCAGCTTCTCCAACTGCACAGCCATGCCATGAGGCCATCACCCCTCCTCGCTCTCACAGACAAGAAACTCTGCCTCGAGGTGGAGACATCACGTAGCAACGTGCTAAGGAGAAACCTCCACTTGTCTGGAAGTTGAGGTCTCCATCAATCCCACTCAGAGATGAGGCTGCTCACATCAACACCAGACATCAATAGCCTGGTCTGCCTGCCCTGGGTGTAATGAGTGATGGAGGTGAATGGGAAGGATTTGGAGTTCCTCTGAATTAACTGCTCGTTCCCCTATCTCCTCTCTCTCCAGGTCAGTACCTCTTTGGGAGAAAGTCCTTCATCCGATAGAGCTCCTGCAGGTTCATGTAGAGCTGGAAAAGGCTCTCGGCCGTGGGCTTGGACATGCTGCCGTCAACCTCGTGCAGCTGCTCCTGGACATGCTCCGCAACCTGGTGGTGACCAAGGGAAGGGGGGACAGCGGTTAGTGAGGGTCTGGCTGGGAAGGCTGGGTCTGCTCTTTGGAGCCATGGGGTGAGGGTTGGCTCAGGGGACTCCTCTTCCTTTTGGGTGCCATTTCAGGAAATTCATTGGGTCAAGTAAGCAGATGATAGTCACTTCACAGCACGCGGGGAAAGATGGAGAGTTTCTCTGGTTTTCTGCCTTTCCAGGCTTGCAAAAACCAGTTGCCATCTGAAGCATGGCCAGAAATCTCAGTCTGTCTTTAGACCTTAATCCCACGAATGCAGAGCAGCCCAGGATTGCTCACCAGGCTCTCCAGCTCCAGGTAGGCGATGGAGAAGAGATTCAACTTCAAGGTGCTGCAAGAGAGAAACGGGGAGTCAAGAGCTGGCCAGCCACAGCCCAGCAAACCCTCCCAGGCCATGCCCTCATCATAAGGGCGAGGACAGCACGGCTCTAAGCGGCAGAGATGGGACCACAGGTGCTATTGTCAAGCCCGAGAAACAAGAAATGAGGCATCAAAGTGCCCTGTTGCTCTTGGACCCAGGGAAGGTGGATGAGGAGGAATCAGGCTCCAAAACCTACTTGATGAAGAATTTATTCCAGATTTTCTGGCACTGCTGGAGATCTCCTATCACCTCCACGAGCAGTCTGGATAAAGCTTTACCATTTTCCTCCATGCTCTGCAACAGAAGGAACAGCTTGTTTTGGATGCTCAGTGATTTTGAGATGACCTGGGCTCCATTCTGATCCGATTTATTTCTATGATTTGTTCTCGTGGGGTAGCAATCTATCATTAGATCCACATTAGGAGCACCAAGACGTTGTCAGTAACATCCACTGTCACCATGTGCTTGTGGAACTGGGCTGGGGACCACCTCCTGTTCTCCTGAGCATTGCACCAAGGCCTTAAGCTTCAATGCACCTTGGCAGCTGCAGGTAGCATGGCTCATGGTGTTTGACGATGGAAACCTGAATGCCTTGGCTGTATCAGAAAACTGGAGAAGCCTCATCTCAGTCTTGTCTTCCCATCCCCTCAGGTCTCCCACCCTAAGCCCAATAAAGTGCTGCTTATAATGTCAGAGAGGCAGAGATGGGAACTGACCTTCACCATGGGCTTGAGGTGCTGCTTCTTCATGTGAAACCACTCCGTCGTGCCTGACTGCAAGAGAGGAGTCCCGCTGTGACAGCAGGAGGAGCAAAAGCAGCTCTGTCACCCCCTTCACTCTCCCTGTCCCCTGGGTGTGGGCAGGACCCAGATCCATGTGGTGGGAACCACACACTTGGACCATCAGGTTGAAGAGGGGCAGGTATTTTCCCCTGCCATGGTGGTCCGTGTGGCTTTGCTGAGATGTGGGCATTGGATACGGGATGAATGGGAAGGGAGAGCCACAGGGTCCCACCTCCCTGGGGCTGGGGAGGGTGAGACTCCGCCGGTCTGACTACCTTCAGCGCTGTGGAGACCATCTGGGGAAGGTCAGGGCTGGGTGTGCACAGCTCGTGGAAAGCTTTCATTTTGCACATCTGGACCAGGACGCTGCAAAGTGAGAACCTCCAGTGAAACCCAGCACCAGCCCATCAGAAACAACCACCTCTCCCCGCAGAGATCCTACCCAAACAGACCTTTCCCTCCCAACAACATCCCCCATGGGGACCGCAGCGTGAGGGACAGGACAGGACAAGTGTCACAGCAGCCTAGAAAGGGGCAGAAGGGGCTTTCGCGGGTTTTTGCTCAAGCTTCCAGGCTTGTCCAGCACGGTGGCCAAGCCACGCGACACCATGTGCAGCCGGCACCGCTGCGCGACTCACCGCAGCAGGGACTGGAGCCTCTCGGTGGACCTCGGGATAGAGAGGGGGAAAATGATGCGGTACCTCCGGACGAGGGAGACCCCGTACGTCAGCAAGGACTGGAAGGACTCGGCCAGCTCTGCTTTCTGGGGAGAAGGAAGGAATCACGCGCTGTTCTCCTCGGCGGCAGAGATGCTGGTGGGACCATGGCACCGTGGCGGAGGGAGCCCGTGACTCCTGCTCTTTTCAGGCTTGCTCTGGGGATGGGAAAGCCCCCGATGCCTCGGGTAACTTCTCCCTGGAGGGGCTGAACTGAGCTTTGTGGTTAAGCCTCATTGCTATGCATGAGAAATGCAGCGTCTCAGCAGGGTGCTGGCATGCCCTGGGAAAACGGGCAGGGCAGATCAGGAACTGGGTCATATTTAAGTTTTGCAGGAGGTTGTG